TATTTTCGAAAGTGTTTATTTCAAAGATTCCAGATCTATAAAAAAAGAAACACAACTAAAATAACTTAAGGAAGTCAACGAGGATTTTGTTATACAACTGTTCACATACAAAAGAAAAGAATACCATTGTCAGTCACACCATTTTCAAGAACCACGTGTTAAACAGTATATCTTCTCGAGACAAAAAAAGTTAATCTCTTCAAATACTTTGAGCAACACAAATATGTGTGTGTGTGTGTGTGTGTGTGTGTGTGTGCATGTGCGTGTGCGTGTGCGTGTGAGTGTGAGTGAGTGTGTTTATCTATTATTCAAATTTTACTTGTTTTGTTGTACACTTTTCAGGCGAACTGTATTCGATTTCAACGTTAAACCACAGATAATCACACCTTCCCCCCCTATTTCAAATGTATCTCGTAGAACCAGGAAATAAAAATCTCAAAGAAATACATCAGGGAAGAAACCTTTTATCAGCTTCCTACTCATTCCAAGATCTAAAAAAAAAAAATACATTAGATGGATCTTGGGTCTTCTTAAGGAATGGTCTTAGTGATAGTTAGGCTCTTAATCATAACGTCTGGTAATCTGATGGACTGATAATCCCATGTGGTAAACTAGAAGAGGAGTACTGGCGTTTAGCTGGTCACTTAGTCCCCAACCATACCGTCGTTAACAGCCCCATAGTTGTTGGAGGACATCTGTGCACGGTGGGCCTTCATTTCATCTTGTTCTTTTCTCTTGAAGAAACCAGCCTGTAAGATACAGAATCAGTGAGGAATTGTGTCTACATATGTTCGTACATTTGCGACACTTGCAAATAAAGTACATATGAGAATCGCAGCAGTACCTAATGCACAATTTAATGTTTCTACATGTGTTTTTAATGCAATACCTCCTTTCGTCTTTTAAATAAAGTACACATTACCTGCCTCTTACATTTACTTTTTTTCATATATACTCTCCGTATTAACTGTACTGCCTATGTTATATTATACTACAGTCTGGACGGTTTGCAATATTCCACTTACCTTATAGAGGCCGTAGGCGAGGAGACAGAGGAGCAGGAGGCCACCCAGTACAGCCAGCAAGATGACCCACCAAGGGACGCCTCTCCCAGGTAGACTGTCCGGCTGCACTTGCGTCATCACCATGAACTCCGCTTCTCTGAAGAATTGGGAAGAGGTTATTGTCGGATCTCCTCCTTTAGTTATAATAAAAGAAATAATCATGGATCTAGTTCATAAAAAGCACTAAATATGCTTCAAAGATAACGGGAAATACCTGAACTCTGTGTAGGTATGTTCATTGTAATTTTAACTTATTCAGAAGGGAAAAGTAGGAAATAATAATAACATTAACAGATTAACAAAAACAACGAATTTATATTAATCATTATGTAATACTTCAAAAATTCACTATATATATATATATATATATATATATATATATATATATATATATACATATATATATATATACACATGCACACACACACACACACACACACACACACACACACACACACACACACACATATATATATATATATATATATATATATATATATATATATATATATAAAGAGAGAGAGAGAGAGAGAGAGAGAGAGAGAGAGAGAGAGAGAGAGAAAGTGAAAGAGAGAGATAGAGAGAGAGAGAGATAGAGAGAGAGAGAGAGAGAGAGAGAGAGAGAGAGAGAGAGAGAGAGAGAGATAGAGATAGAGATAGAGAGAGAGAGAGAACATACTTATCCCCAACAAAGTCCAGCTGAGTATTTAGTGACAAAATCCTTGCCCTTGCGTAACTCTTCACAACGGCTCCTCCCTTCGCCGAGATGTGGCTAGCTGCAGAGAAAGACAAGATAACAAATAAATAAAGTTGTCCCGTATTCAACTGCATGTAGAGAACATGTCCGAAGAAGAGCATGCTTACTGTCTCGCAGGATGATGCAACAGAGGTCAGTTTCTTGACGTTCTAACTTGGCCCCAAATGAGACCAGTGCTCCTTTGCAAGTGAGTTGTAGGGAAGGGCCTGGCTAGGCACAAACCTGGGACTTTTCACAGTAAAGCCACCTCCACACAGTTTCCTAGCTATTTCATAAATTTGTAGCCTAACATAGTTCCTTAAATATCTATGACTATTGACAAGTTGCAGTTGATGTCCATCAGATTATCATTTTCCCTTCACATTACTGTAAATAAAAAAAAAAAAAAAAACGTGAGTCTTCTAAAACAGAGTAACTCCCATGACACTTACCTAGGACGGTGAGGTTGAGAGAAAAGTTGATAGTGAGATCGGCGAAACTAGTCCAGGCCGGCCATGACTTGATTAGACACGAGAGTCGAGCACAACTCACCAGAGGATTCGAACAGTTCAGACTGACTGGTTGAAGTGAAGATTCTTTGCTCTGCATGCTGTGGAAAGATATCCGAGATTCAACTTTTCAGCATACTCTGATGATAGACAAAACACCACACAAAACACTTTTGAAATACTGGAGTTCATCCTCAAATCTGACCTGAAGATTAAATGAAGCTACTGTCTCCTCTTTCAGTTAAACCATTTTGTGTGGATGTTTTTTGTCATTAATATGTTCTGTTATGCTTATTTTTCTATGCCATCACACGTGGAACTATTAATATACTCAAAGATCTAAGTACTAAAAGATATAACCTTTGCAAAGCAGTGTTGGTGTCAATATTTCACTGATCTTTGCAATCTTCTATCAATAGATGGAAAACAAAAAATCATGATCTCACACTGACATTAGCTTATAAAACTTAATAAAAAAAAACAGAAACATGAAAAAAAATGAGTAAGGAAGAGAACCAGAACGGTCCTCATTATGTGCCTTCGGATTCCCTTACCTAGAGGTTTTCTGGTATTCATTTATTGAAAATTGGGTACTGCTGTTTGTTAAGACAAAAGGGATTTCTATTTCTTCTCCATCGGGTTCCTCATCGGGTACGTATGTGGCACCTACTATACTGCACTGGAACCTCTGATTCTGGAAGTTTGTCTGTAACGCAGAGACAAGATTCTTATTCGCCTGGATTTGTGAATAATATTAATGGATTATAGACAATACTGTTCATAATAGCCTACAGGAATATTCACTATTGTCCTGACATCTCTCAAATAAAGTTCGCAAGATAAGGATAAGTCCGATATGCGAAGCTGAGCAACTTGTCGCGCCTGGGCGGAGCGCGAACCGCCGACCCCTCAGATGAGAGGCCGACACATTACCAATGCATTAGCCCGGAGGCTTAGTTCGCAAGAAATTCATTGTCCCTTATAATGCTTTTATAAAAGGGTGTGGCACCATGTATAGCCTTGGAATTGGGCCTATGATTGGTCTCTACACACACCGTAAAGAACTACAAGCTACCTCTTCAGTATAGATGTTGAGGAATGTCTCAGACCTCCCCCGGGTTGTAAAGTTCACTGGGATATCCACAATAAGCTCCACTTCGCCAAGAGGAGTAGGTCCTTTCTTCACCAACTGCAATAAAAATTATGCATTATACATCAAGCTAACCATGATATAGAAACAAGCTTAATATCATTATATTATTATTTCATCTTCCTGAACTGCCATGGTCTTTCTCTCCTGTACTATCATTAAGTGTGGAATGTAGTAAGTGGAAAGATATAAACAAAGTAGTGCATACAGGTCTTCATCATTGTCACATCATCGCATTTAATAACTGGGCAATCATGCAATGCCTGATCCTCACCGAAAAGTAATGCAGAAACTTTGGTGTTATGGTCGTGTTGATTTTGTTCTCCTCAAGACGCTGGTACAAAATCTGTTCTTCTTTGGAATACCTGTAATTAGTTGTATTAAATAGATATTTATTTGTGCATGTGATGAATATTTGTGCATATATAGCCCTACTATAATGACGTGCATTTCACCGACATTGATAATCATATGCAATTCTGAAAGAAAGATTTTAATAATGGAGAAGACAAATCATACCCATGAAGTTCCAAAGACGCTTGGGCGCCCATGTTTAGGGCAAAAGCGGCGGCATTATCTTGAGGGCGTGCTTCCGTGCCTTCGCCTGCCACTTCCACTCTGATGGCGCTGCTGCTGGCCCGGTCGTCCAGCTCACTGATGTCTATTGTGACTTTTATCTCATCCTGTAGTGTGTGAAAAAAAATATTTTGATCTTAAGCACAGCGTATGTGTGATGACGTGTGATGTACAGTCTGGTTCTCAAATTCAAGTAAAAGTTTCATAGTGAAGCGTAGTGATAGTAAAATTCATATTGGTCAAGATACTGGCTTTCGTAGGTTTCACCTTTTGGACAAAGCATTACTACAAATTACTACATCATGGGCTACATGGAATTAGAGGAATATAGTTGAAGGGGGAAGGTTTACCACCCTTTATTTCATTCCTGGATAAACTTGTCAACAAATAGCGAGGATAGGAGCAGAGAAACACGTGATTATGCTTGCTCTACTACTTCTTCAGCAAAGTGATAACGCAGTGAGTGAAAATTGTTATGTTTGCAATTTGTCCAATAGAATCCTACCTCTAGTCAAATATACGCTCTAAATAGTACATTGCGATGCTTTCTATGTGTATATAACAGAGTCGAACATGCTTATGAAGCCGGTATTTATTTTACAGAAGTGATGGACAATCATAAATAAATCACCATTAGAAAAAGAGTTTATGAAAAAAATCTCCATGGACGGAAGTTGAAACTGAATTTTTACTCATTTGCTGCAGTCGCCCACGTACCTTCTCGTCAGGCATAATTGGGTTCCTGAGATGACATGCAAGGAAGGTCCTGTTGTCTGCATTAGGGAAGCTACAGCTGTGTGTGTTGGGAAGCATGAGGGCGAGGGGAGAATCCACGCTGACTGTAACGTTGGGCAGGAAAACAGGTTCTCCGGTGTTGAATACGCTCACCGTAATGGTTGGTTTGTCTTCACCACCAATCACAAAAGCCGTCCTGGGGAGTGGACATTTCATAAGACGATGTTGGAGGTACAAGTAAGCTGATTCGCTTTATGAAGCAACTGTTGACTTTTGGACACCTGTCTCTCTCGGTAATGTGAAGTTGTCATATATTTAGCAACGTACCTGAGAGGTCGGTTAGTCTGACAAACTAATGAAAAGGTGAGACTCACTCTTGGTTGGATAATGTGGTTTCAACTCGCAGATCCACACGGCAGGTCTCGTCGCCGTCCTTTTCACAACCTGTAATTATACCAACGTGCTCCGTTGCGCTGACAGGTAGACCGGGATCCGTTATTGGTAGAGCTGAAAGAATGAATTAGGAAATAGAAAAGATTCAGAAGCTGCAATGAGTTGACGAAGAAAATGACAATGCCAAACCAAGACCGTCAAACAGAAACATTTCGACTAAATCATACTGCAAACATACACCTGCAACGCAAAATCTAAAACCAAAGCATATTCAGAAAAGAAAATGAAAAAGTAAACACTCACAAAGAAGGTCAGAAGACTGGGCATGGTCCAACTCCCACTCGGCTTTCATCAGAATTGGTTGCCGGGCATCAATTTTATCCGCCTGGGAACAATGCGTAAAAAGATGTTAGATGATCGAAAATGCTAGCGTTATAAACACTTCAGATGAATACCGCCATCAAAACAATATATATAAATAAATAAAAGACTGACCTTTAACTTGACCTCGTACTCTTTACACCTCTGGTCTCCTGCTACCGCGGTTTGGCTGAACGTCTTGATATACGTGTTGGTGTCGGGGAAGAAGGCTCGGGGGGAAGGGAACTTGTGGTCTAACGTGATGTTACCCTTGATACCTGCAGCATTGAATTCATTAGGTTACCTGGTGTGATTTCACATCTTCGTTGATCTCACGTAATTCATATAAAAAGAGCGAGGAAAGAGAGAGAGAGAGAGAGAGAGAGAGAGAGAGAGAGAGAGAGAGAGAGAGAGAGAGAGAGAGAGAGAGAGAGAGAGAGAGAGAGAGAGAGAGAGAGAGAGAGAGAGAGAGAGAGAGAAACTGTGGTAAAAAAAAAAACAGGTAACAAAAGGCAGATTTACGGAATCTACAAACCACACAAAAAAGAGAAAGAAAAAAAATGAATATGGAAATAAATCCATCCATTTACTCAATCTCACCAATTTGCGAAGGAACATTGACACCCATTTGGTTGAAGCAGACAACCAACTGGAGCGAAGTGTCATTGAGAGCTACACTTGATGGCCTTGAAGTCACAGACGCCCTAACAGTCACCACAGGACGACTTCTCAGCACTGCAGCATGGCCGGAGAGGAAGCTGCCGATGGCCAGATCTAGAAGGTGCAGGGATGTGCATTGTTCGCATTATTAATTTTAGCTGTTATTGTTGCGTTATGACCATTAACATTATCATAGTAGAAGTAGCACTACCAACTTGTATCATTATGATCATTTTCATTATTATCATTATTTCATTGTTATCTCAATACCGTTATTATTAGCATTACTAACTTAGTTACCTTTACCATCGATACATTGCTATTGCTACTAATCTCGAAAACGACAATGGAAAATAATTTCTTATATTCAGAACACTAGCAAAAAGGACAACCTATTACCCTCGTGGCACCAGGACATAATCAAGTGTTTCTGTTACCCAGTCGAACCTCACTCTCTCACCAGCAGATCCAAATAAAAGGGAGATATCATTCCCTATTTTCTTTCCTGTAGCTTTTTCTATAGCCTTCCTCCCGCCCTTGTCTTCTCCCCATCTTTATTCCTGCTTTTCTTCCCATACTTTTCCTACCCCGTTCTTACCCCCATTGAAAGACACACGTACGGCCAGCATATGACCCAGTATAGAGGGTCAAGGAGTGACCTAGCTTCTTTGTTGATGACCTCCCCTCCCACCTACTCTGACGCCCATGCGGACCCCTACCCTCCAGCCGGCCTTTCCTGTCCTCCCATTTCCGAATGCTTATCTATTTCCCATTTCTTATCCTATTTCGGCTTTGAATAGAAGTTTTCGTATTATAATCAGCAAAAAAAACAAATTAATTGCCAGTTCTCGACATAGTCAACACCACTACGTCAGTCTAGATCTACTTGTGTAGCATAGTTACCGAAAAAAATCAATGTTGATAACACTAATGATGATTGATGTTGATGATGATGATGTTGATGATGATGATGTTGAAGTTGATGCTGATGTTGATGTTGATGATGTTGATGATGATGATGATGACAATGATGATGATGATACTGATGTTGATGATAATGATGGTGTTGATGTTGATGATATTGATGATGATGATGGTGAAGCTGCTGATGTTGATGATGTTGATTTTGATGTTGATATGGATGTGGATGTTAATGATGTTGATGTTGATGATGAAGAGGAAGATGATGGTGATGGTGATGGTAATGATTATTATGATAACTTTAAACAAAACGCATTTTCACAAAACCAACTCTACCAGTCACTTCCTGACTACACTAAAATAATGAAAAAGATGACAATGACGCCATTGATAAAAATTCTTCAGTAAATAAATCAACAAAATAATAATGCTAATCCTACCAGCAATAAACAAGTGAACAGAACGCACTTTCGCCTTAATTTACATAAAACAATCCCGAAATTGGCTTGTAAGGAACTATTCCGACCGCGCGTCAGATAACACTGAAATTCTAACACGTCATCATCTTTCCTTCGGCCAAACGCCTTCTACCTTCACACTCTACACATCTCTCCAGCGTGAATAACACATACCAGGATAGCCGTTGCCGTCGATATCAATGCCTCTGGAGATGGACATGCCCAAACCCAAGAAAGGCGCAGAGAAGTGCTGCGGCAGGAGATGCTGGGAGAACTTCGACCTCAGGCCTTGTGGAGACCCGAGGTAGATGTACACAGCTCCGTGACCGTCCTCCCAAGGGGCTCCCACTGCTATGTCTAGAAAAGGAAGGAAGGAAGGAATTCGTAATGTGTCATGTCATGTCGGGATATTAGTGTAGATTTAGAGATTATTATTATTATTCATTCGTAGCATATAGGGAAATAACGGTTGGTTAAAGGATTATTATTATTATGCTTTCGTAAATGAGTGTTGTTTTGAATATTGTGCTTATTCATTCGTATCATGTTGAGAAATAGGTGTGAATTAAATTATTATTACTATCCACGTGTACTTGTTTGTCCTATTTTATTTATTCATTTATTTATACATACATTTGCTCTGTGTACCTTCTCTGTCTACAATATAAAGAAGGTATTGGTCACATATAAATGAAGACGCCTGAATATCCATATATTCATTTATTGAATACACACACACACACACACACACACACACACACACACACACACACACACACACACACACATATATATATATATATATATATATATATATATATATATATATATATATATACATATATATATATATATATATATATATATATATATATATATATATATTATATATATATATGTATATGTATATATATATATATATATATATATATATATATATATATATATATATATATACATATATGTATATATATATATATATACATATATATATATATATATATATATATATATATATATATATATATATATATATATATATATATACATATATATATACATATATATATATATATATATATATATATATATATATATATATATATATATATATATATATATACATACATATATATATACATATATATATACATATATATATATATATATATATATATATATATATATATATATATATATATACACACATATATATATATCTTCGACATCTTCACTTTGTCTAGAAAATAACGATTTTTTTTACAAATATAGAAAGAGGAAATTATTTTTGTCATCATATTCGTTATGTCCTGAGAGTACTAAATTATTTACATACAGATAATTAAGAATGATCTTTTTGTTTGTTCTCTGAGTTTGACAATTATTTACGCAGAGATAAACACTCAAAAAATAGTTTAATTTCTTCCCAAATTTGCCCAACGTTTTAGCATAGCAATTACACTACTACATGATTATCGCATAAACATGGAGAACACCCTTTTGTATAAAATAAACAACGCTCTAAAAATACGACGAGAAAGATAAGCAACCCACATGCTTGTCTGGCCATAGCACAAACAACTGCTTGGTGCCCCATAATGCATAAGTTAAGCGAGTTACCCTCTTGGCGTTTTCGATTTCCTTAATCAAATGATGGGTGGCCATGGATACTAACTGCAATTACATAAACACCAGTAACATCTGCCTTCCGCCGGGTAGGAGGTCTGAATCACGCGGAGTTACTAACGTTCCCATAGGCGGGTTAGTGTTGTATATTTTTGAAGCGCGGGATTATTTAACCTGGTGTGGTGGGTACGTTACTCTCGTTTTCTCGCTCTCGTTCTCTCTCTCTCTCTCTCTCTCTCTCTCTCTCTCTCTCTCTCTCTCTCTCTCTCTCTCTCTCTCTCTCTCTCTCTCTCTCTCTCTCTCTCTCTCTCTCTCTCTCTCTCTCTCTCTCTCTCTCTCTCTCTCTCTTTCTCTCTCTCTTTTTAATGACCTCTCCCCTCTACTATCCCCTCGACTTCCCACGGTACCCAGGACCGTACTGGTAATTGCCAAGTTTGACCTGCGCCCAGAAAGTAACGACAATAGTTAAGTGCCCACAGAGCAAGCGATTCCGACCCTTACCGTCGAATACTTTTTATAACTACAAGTGTACTTATATCTTGATTATACTCAAAATGTTTGTTAAAAAATCCTTATTCTCAATCACTATGTTTGTAATCATTATTATTGACGATATTGTAGTTATCTATTGTTCACGATTTAATTGTTTTGTCATATCCAGTGTCCCTGACCCAACATGTGACCACAAGACCCTTACCCTGCTATAAAACAGAGAATCTGTACAGTCATTTCCCACGAAAGAACAATGTTGCCATATTCTTATGTTTAGTGAATATTTTGTGAACCATTCAAAATCTCAGAGAGCCGAAGTC